AAAAAGGATCACTGGAAAATGTATACAGACCTTCATGGTCAATAAATGTTACATTATAAACCATACTATGTTGAAGAAAGCTCTATTGTAAAGAGATCTGCTTTAAAGAAGAACTAAACATCTCAAGTAAAACGGAATAATATCAGGTCTTAGTCACTTAGTTATTTTACATTGTGTTTATTTTTTTCACCCATCCTCAAAATTCATGGGAACTCTGTACCAGGGGCGGACCATTCGAGAACTTGGGCACTTCCCGAGGGCCCGGGGTCAGTAAGGGGCACCATGAAATGCCCCTGCTACCTTTTATAGGCTTTTTTGAGTGTGGGCAAGGACACAGGGGCCCCATGATCCCCTATTGCCCGGGGGCCCCATGAGTTGTCAGTCCGCCCCTGCTCTGTACTGTGGTGTAAGGTGTGCATGCACAGGTGAATAAGTTACCTTATTTATTACAGGTATATAGTGCCACAGTGCACTATATACCTGTAATATATATTGTACATCCACATCAGTCCCTGCCCTCAAAGAGTTTACAATCTAAGGTCCCTAACTCACATCCACACATACACATACTAGGGCCAATTTATACAGGAGCCAATTAACCTACCAGCATGTCTTTGGAGTGAGGGAGGAGACCAGAGAATCAGAAGGAAATCCATACAGGCACAGGCAATACATGCAAACCCCAGGCAGGTGGTGCTGTGGTTGGGATTCAAACGACAACCCTAACCACTTGGCGGCTATGCAGCCCCTACTTGTTAAACATCTGTATCTGTTCTACGCTGAGTTTAAGCTCTGACTGGCATGATTACTAAAAGGACCAGAAAATAGGGAATGGATTTCAAAGAAAGAAAAAGTAAAAAAAGAGTCGTCAATGGGACACCTTTTAGTGGCTAACTAAGAATACAAGCTTTTGGAGTACTAAAGCTCAAGCACAAAAGCTTTGATTTAAAAAAAAAAAAATGTTTACTACTTTTTGCCTTCTCTACCTCTAGATTTATTCCTGGCTAACACATTACATCATATTTTTCCTTCCTACGGAGGAAGAACAGTAACAGTATATAGAATGCCCAGGTTGTGGCTTTCTGCTGTGTCTGCCATGTAACAGAACTCCTCTGGAGGGGATGTGTAAGTTTGTGCAGCCTGCATGTTGGTGATTCTGCACACAGGGACACTAGGGTCAACAAAAAAACCCAAAAACCTTTGTTTTCTTATAGAATTAATTCTCATATCAGCGTTTTACAGTGTATTTAGACCCTTTAATAAAAAGAAGCTCACAATCTAATGTACCAGCCACACTCTACAAACCAGGGACTTTTTAGGAAGATGCCAAGTAACTTATCACAATGCTTTTGGAAAAGAGGATTTGTAGGAGGAATCCCATGCAAACACAGAAGGATCATAAAGGTAGAGACCTTAGTGGATTTCAAACCCAAGAATGAAAAAAATATATGGGAACAACCTCTAAAGCAGTGGTTCTTAACCTGGGTTCGATCGAACCCCAGGGGTTCGGTGAGTCAGTCTCGGGGGTTCGGCGGAGGTGACCCACACCGACTCATATGATTTGTGATGACATGCCCCGCTTGTCCATCATTGGCTGCAGGTGGTCACGCAACATCGCTTAGCCCAGTGGTCGGCAAGCCGCGGCTCTTGTGTGTCGGGCGCCCGCTCCCCTCCCTCCTCTCGGGCGGCAGGGACTCAAATGCAATGATTGGCCAGTCTCGCTGCCACTCACATCCTGATAGCCAGTGATTGGCTGTCAGGATGTGTGTAGGCGGGGCAGCGTGACGAACGTGAGAGGAGCTAGGCTCCTCTCACAGTCCGCCCTGAAGACCAGAACGGCGCGGGAATACAGCGAGAGGAACGCGTGGAGCAAAGGTAAGTGAATTGACACAGGGGGGGACTTGGGGACTTAATATGGGGGATGAATTAATATGGGGAATGAATTACTATAGGGGGGATGAATTACTATATGGGGGATGAATTATTATATGGGGGATGAATTACTATATGGGGGATGTATTACTATATGGGGGATGTATTACTATATGGGGGATGAATTACTATATGGGGGATGTATTACTATGGGGGATGAATTACTATATGGGGGATGAATTATTATATGGGGGATGAATTACTATATGGGGGATGTATTACTATATGGGGGATGTATTACTATATGGGGGATGTATTACTATATGGGGGATGAATTACTATATGGGGGATGTATTACTATGGGGGATGAATTACTATATGGGGAATGTATTACTATGGGGGATGAATTACTATATGGGGGATGAATTATTATGGGGGATGAATTACTATATGGGGGATGAATTACTATGAGGGATGAATTACTATGGGGGATGAATTACTATATGGGGGATGAATTACTATATGGGGGATGAATTACTATGGGGGATGAATTACTATATGGGGGATGAATTACTATGGGGGATGAATTTTCATACCGTTTGTTACAACATATCTTTGCGAGCAATCCTTTTCGAGGATGCTGGACATAAAGACGAAGAAAAGGAACAGACTTTGTTGTGAAAATGACATGAGAGTGGCACTTGCCAAGGTAATGCCACGCATTTCTGAACTGGCCTCTGAAAGACAACAGCAGAAGTCACACTGATTTGCGGTAAATATTCATTTTGTTTTTGTGTGAAAATCATGTTTTAATGGTTTTGTTCTTTGTTCTTAATGGTTTTGTTCATTTTGTGCACCTATGTATAAATATATACCTATGTTTTGAATTTTAAAAATCATATTTTATTTTTCCAATTAAGAAGGGTTCGGTGAATGCGCATATGAAACTGGTGGGGTTCAGTACCTCCAAAAAGGTTAAGAACCACTGCTCTAAAGGGTGTGTATATATGTGTATGTATATGAATATACACTGCTCAACAAAAATTAAAGGAACACTTTGAAAACACATCAGATCTCAATGGGGAAAAATCTCATGCTGGATATCTATACTGATATGGACTGGGTAATGTGTTAGGAACATAAGGATGTTACCATCGTTTGTTGGAAATGAAAAGGATCAACCTACAGAGGACTGAATTCAAAGACACCTCGAAAATCAAAGTGAAAAAATGATGCAGCAGGCTAGTCCATTTCGCTGAAATTTCATTGCAGCAATTCAAAATGGTACTCAGTAGTTTGTATGGCCCCCACGTGCTTGTATGCATGCCTGACAACGTCGGGGCATGGTCCTAATGAGATGATGGATGGTGTCCTGGGGTATTTCCTCCCAGATCTGGACCAGGGCATCACTGAGCTCCTGGACAGTCTGAGGTGCAACTTGGCAGCATCGGATGGACTGAAACATGATATCCCAGAGGTGTTCTATTGGATTTAGGTCAGAAGAGCATAGGGGCCATTCAATGGTATTAATTCCTTCATTCCTCAGGAACTGCCTGTATACTGTTGCCACATGAGGCTGGGCATTGCCGTGCACCACGAGGAGCCCAGGACCCACTGCACCAGCGTAGGGTCTGGAAATGAATCCAAGGATTTCATCCCAATACCTAATGGCAGTCAGGGTGCTATTGTCTAGCCTGTAGAGGTCTGTGCGTCCCTCCATGGATATGCCTCCCCAGACCCTCACTGACCTACCAACAAAACTGTCATACTGAACGATGTTACAGGCAGCATAATGTTTTCCACGGCTTCTCCAGACCCTTTCACGTCCGTCACATGTGCTCAGGGTGAACCTGTTCTTATCTGTGAAAAGCACAGGGTGCCAGTGGTGGACCTGCCAATTCTGGTGCTCAATAGCAAATGCCAATCGAGCTCTATGGTACTGGGCAGTGAGCATAGGACCCACTAGAGGACGTCGGGCCCTCAGGCCACCCTCATGAAGTCTGTTTCTGATTGTTTGGTCAGAGACATTCACACCATTGGCCTGCTGAAGGTCATTTTGTAGGGCTCTGGCAGTGACCATCCTGTTCCTCCTTCTCGATCGCTCCTCTGCTGTGGTAACAGGAATCAAAGGCTGGTGTGCTCTCACATGAAAAAGGAGTGGTAAGAGGGGCCCACATAGCCATTTATTTTTTATTTGAGAGCACACCAGCCTTTGAATCCTGTTACTACAGCGGAAGAACAATCGATAGAGAGGAATAGAAGTCCCAGCAATCCCAAGAGATCTGCAGTATATGCACACTAGACTCTTAACATTACATGTAGGAGCCCACAGCTGTTGGTGAGTGTAGGAACACAGGAAGGGGACCCCAGAACTGATTTCTGCACTAACCTTCTGGGGAAAATATTGCAGTTTCACCATAGACTGCACTACTGAATTTTAATGCAAACGTTTCTTTTGAACACTCAATATATGTGAACCTTTATGTTTTTACATTTATTCATACATGGTAGCTATTTGAGTTGACACATTTTGTTTTTGGTTTACTGTAGAGGGAGTTAAACCCGATCTCAGCAGCAGCCTTTGTTGTTTATTGATCTTGTGGGTGATATCACTATTTACCGTATTTTTCGGTCCATAAGACGCACCTGACCATAAGACGCACCTAGATTTTAGAGGAGAAAAGCAAGAAAAAAAAATATTCTGAACCAATGGACTGCAGACATAGTACAGGAGATGACCAGAGACTGCGGAGTACATAGAGACTACAGTACAGGTGATGACCAGAGACTGCGGACACAGTAAAGGAGATGACCAGAGACTGCGGACACAGTACAGGAGATGACCAGAGACTGCGGACATAGTACAGGAGATGACCGGAGACTGCGGACACAGTACAGGAGATGACAGGAGACTGCAGACGTAGTACAGGAGATGACCAGAGACTGCGGACATAGTACAGGAGATGACCAGAGACTGCAGACGTAGTACAGGGGATGACCAGAAACTGCGGACTTAGTACAGGGGATGACTAGCGGCTACGGACACAGTACAGGAGATGACCAGAGACTGCGGACAGAGTACAGGAGATGACCAGAGACTGCAGACACATTACAGGAGATGACCAGAGACTGCAGACATAGTACAGGAGATGACCAGAGACTGCGGACATAGTACAGGAAATGACCAGAGACTGCGAAACATAGTACAGGAGATGACCAGAGACTGCGAACATAGTACAGGAGATGACCAGAGACTGCACACATACTACAGGAGATGACCAGAGACTGCGGACACAGTACAGGAGATCACCAGAGACTGCAGACATAGTACAGGAGATGACCAGAAACTGCAGGACAGTACAGGAGATGACCAGAGACTGCGGACACAGTACAGGAGATACCAGAGACTGCAGACGTAGTACAGGAGATGACCAGAAACTGCAGACATACAGTACAGGAGATGACCAGAGACTACAGACACAGTTCAGGGGATAACCAGAGACTGCAGACAGTACAGGAGATGACCAGAAACTGCAGACATAGTACAGGAGATGACCAGAGACTGTGGACACAGTTTGGGGATAACCAGAGACTGCAGACAGTACAGGTGACCAGAAACTGCAGACAGCAGAGTTACCAGAGACTGTGGACCTTTGTGGAGGGAGGAGGAGCGGGTACTGAATTTGACAGGTACCCGCTCCCACTTCCGCAGAGTTATCCTCCCTTTAGTGTGGGAACCCGGCTGTGACAGCCGGGTGCATATTGCGCATGCGCAAGAAGTGCTGCACTTTGTGAATGGCCCGGCGTCTTCTGGGACACGTGACAGGTCCCAGAAGACGCCGGGCCATTCACAAAGTGCATCGCTTCTCGCACATGCGCAATGGGCACCCGGCTGTCACAGCTGGGTTCCCACACTAAAGATAAAAAAAGGGGCAGGAAGACTGTACAGCACCGGACCAAGGAACAGGTAAGGTCCTGCTGCAGGGAAGAGCTGAGCGGCCGGCCCGGTATTCTGTCATGGTGTCGGCGGCGGAAATATCGGACCGGCCGCTCCATATTTGCTCTATAAGATTTTCATTTTCCCCCCTTTTTTGGGGGAAAAAAGTGCAACTTATGGAGTGCAAAATACGGTATTTGTTATCACATATAGTTTTCACTTCTTTTGGAAAAAAAAGTAATTTAATTTATTTTTTCACTGGTAAAATAAGAATAGGTACACTTTTATACTTTTAAAACTCCAGCTAACACTTTATAGGCAGTTTTAGCAACAGTTTTTTTTTTCCTTTTGGGATAAAGGTTTAACATAAATAAATGTTGATCTTCGGAAGCACCCCTACTACCATTGGTAAATGGTGTGCCTCTACCTTGTAAACCATTACATTTGCAAAAGAGCTTGTTCTTTTGAAAAACAAAATACTTACTGGCTGGATAACCAGATGAAAATAGAAGAAAGAATGCCAAAAAAAGAAACCTAATGCAGCCATCACATCTAAGAATTGGTAAGCTGCAACATAATAAATGTTTGCTTTCAGGTTTGTTACTGATTTAATGGCATTCTCACTAACTGTTCTTACAGTATTCTGTATGCTGGTTGTAATTTTCAAACTCTGTTCTTATTTTTGTTAGCTAGCTCTGTAAGCTTTGTATAACCTTTAGTATCTCTTCTTATTCTGTATGTATGGACACTTCTCTTGTTTTGTATGATATATGTAATCTTCCAGTAATCTGTCCTCACTCCATAGGCATGTGTGCTGCACAATGCCACTTCTACTGTTTTGTATGTTGGGCAAATGTTGTGCCTATTCATTTTCTTTCTAGACTCATTATGCCAGGGCTCAACAAATCCCAGGCGCCAGGTTGCCATGGCGACTAGAAATTGTGTCATGGCGCCTGGGTTCACACACTGCCTCCCACTGATTTAAATGCAAAAGCACCTCCCATTGACTTCAATGCAAAAACGCCTCTCATTGACTTCAATGCAAAAACGCCTCTCTTTGACTTCAATGCAAATACGCCTCTCTTTGACTTCAATGGAAAAACCCCTTTCATTGACTTTAATGGAAAAACGCCTCTCATTGACTTCAATGCTAAAATGTCTCCTATTGACTTCAGTGCAGAAATTCCTGTCAATAGCAATCCTATGTGAATACTTATCTCCGCATGCCTCTCTACTTTATCACTTGTGAGTCTGGAACGCACTGCACAGGACGCAACTCACACAGGACCCTTTTCGTAATGGCACTTGATTGTGGATCGCATTTGTATGAACACACACAGTAGGAACACATAATATCTAGCCTGTCATGTGAATCTGTGAGTCTGAAAACGCATCCAGAATCGCATGTGTGTGAACCAGGGCATTTTGTTATCACGGCAGAATCGCTGTGATCACAAAACTCAGGTTCAGGTTTTGCTGTGATTATTGCATGGCAAATCGCATCGCGTGAAGCTTGTCGCCCAAAAGTTGATTTGCCCCGGGCACTGGCAACCCAAGCCAAAAAAACAAATATGGCTACTAAATTTTTTAGCTGACTCCTAGATTCAAAGAAATTTGTCAAGACCTGCCTTATGCCTATTGTTTTCCACTCCAAGTTAAACCCCTGTATAGCTGCCTACACCTGTAGGTATAAAAAAAATAAATCGACAATTATAATTTTGGAAAATAGTTGATTGTTCTTGCTTAAAAATCCCAAATATTTTAAGTAATATTTATTTTATTTTAATGAAAAAATAGAAGAGTAATGGTGTTGAGGTGCACTGTCTGAAAATATTGAGACTAAAACACTGAAAATAAACCCCTGGTTGCCACATCCTGTGAAGCAACAGTTGGTTTGTAATAAAGGAGTCAATTTTCTCCTGGAATTCAGACATGTTTACACAGAAAGTAAAAAGGTCAGGTTGGTCAGCTATCTAGAGTGCTAGTTTAATTTCCTGGCAAATAACTTGGCCTTATCAGATGTACCTTGTCTCACTGCCACTAAGCTGGGTTGTCAGGTTGATGGTGACTTTGTTTACGTTGTGTTTTATAGGAAAGGAATGATCGGAGCCTAAAATAAAATACATCCCATTTTTCGTTACCTTCCTTTCTAGGGTTCCATACTCCCTGTATACACACAGTGTATGCTTATTGCAAAAATTATGTAAGAATACATATGTACATGTTTACGTCACTGTGCAAAGTGTTGACCTTTAATTCCTTGCCCACAGACCCATCCTTGCACTGTGCATGTCTACATAGTGGGGGGTGGATGAAACATTACAAATTAAACTGGACAAATTGGTTAAATTAACAAACAGTGAGTGTACATTTTAAGAATGAGCACAATGTTGCTGGACCCTTAAAAATAAACATTTTTACCACACACACACACTGGATATGTACTTTGTAGTATAGTAGTAGCAGTATAGTAAAGGATGGAAACAGTAGGAGGGACTTGGGATATAATACATGTACATGGGTAGAAAAATGTAGACGAGGACCGGGAATGCACAGGTAGATATGGATCCACACTAGAGCTGTAGTATATAAGTGAAATATTATTACATGAAAGTGAAGGCGTAAGTGCAATCTATGTTGCAGGATTGAGAAGTCAGGTGGTAGGGAGCTCTCCAAAATGTGACTTCACTAGTTGTAGACTTTGGGCGTGCTACACACATATATTATACATACATATCACAGTACACTCAGAGAAGAAGTAGGCAGTTCTAGCTATCACAAAAGCAGTCAGAATCAGTGTTTATACATACTACTTCAGATGCAATTATACAAAAACATATTGTTACATTTGTATCTTTCTGTTCATTCATCTGCAGATCAAAGGGATGAACTCCAACCTACAGATGATGTCAGTTAAAGCAACCTGACAAGAAAAAAGTTTTTAGTTTTTTTTTAAATAAAATGTTTCCCTTTTTAACCCCTTATTAACCCTCAGGTTACTCTAATCAGCCCTAATTAACTCCTTAGTTTCCTTCTCTTTTCAACTATTATTTTTCTGCAGATTTTTCTTTGTTTCTATTTTATTAACACTATTTAAACTTTTTGGTTTTGTTAATATTTTGACACATTTACGTATTTCCCATTAAAAAAAATAAATGTATTATATCTTCTTATCATTAGTAATGACAATGAGTTACTGCTGAATAAACAGGTAAATAGCAGAAATTAAAAAATTGCTCTGGTGCATGGGGGGGTGAACAGGCGAAATGGTTAAATCAGACTCTGTAGTAGTGGCAGCAGAAGCACAGAAAATGGCAGTGGCCTTAGATGTGTGTTTTGGATCATTGTCATTTTGGAAAAGTACACGACAGCCAAGGGCACGGAGTGATGGCAACATCTTCTCTTTCAATATAAAGCTGTACCTTTGTGAATTCATGATACCATCAATGAAATGCAACTCCTCAACACCAGCAGCACTCATGCAGCTCCACAAAGGTACACTGCCACCACCGTGTATCACTAAGCACCATCCATTTTTCTTCGTACTCCTCACCTTTGCGACACCATACAGTTTTGCAGCCATCAGTTCCAAAAACATTTATCTTGGTCTCATCATGCCAGAGTACAGAATCCCAGTGGTAGTCTTCTTTTTCAGCATGGGCTCTGGCAAATTCTAGGTGGGCTTTTTTGTGTATGGGCTTTAGGAGAGGCTTCCTTCATGGACAACACCCATGCATGCCATTCCTCTGCAGTGTACACCGTATTGTGTCACGGGAAACAATCACCCCAGTTTGGCTTTCTACTTCTTTAGCTAAAAGAAGTGAACTTGCATGGCGATTTTATTCAACCCTTCACATTAGAAGAAGCTCCTGTCAAGGTGTTAACGTCCGTGGATGGCCTGGACATCTCTGTGAAATGGTTGTAGTTCCATCTTTGTTAAATTTTTGTATCACTTTTGCCTGATAAGTAAATCTTTGCTGATCTTCTTGTAACCTTCACCTTTCTTGTGTAAAGAAATTATTTTCTTTCTCAGGCCTTGTGACATTTCTCTTCCATGTGGTGCCATTGCTGACAGCATGAAAGTAACGCCCTTTTATAATCAACTGTCTGCTGGACGTCTGTTTATTGAGTAATTAGACTCACCTGTAGTTGATTTCTTCTTAATTAGGATTTTGTTGTCTAAAATTTAGCTTTGGTCATAGGACTCTCATTGGGGTGTATTCATTTTTGCAGCATGGCCTTGAATGAATTTGTTAGAAAAATACTTTTTTGTGTGTGCAGATGGAAAATGTTGATTCTTACAGCAAAGTAAAGCTTTTCTGACAAATCTGTTGGGGTGTACTCATTTGCGCTGAGAACTGTATATACCCAAAATGTATTTTTAGTTTTGGATACAGAAGGGAATGGTAAAACCCCTGCCAGTTTATTTTTTTATTGTCTATGTACAATCGGGGGAAATTTACCTTTACTTCCTATCCCAGACACACAACAGAAAGGTAGAGAAAATCTCCCAAAGTGAGGGGAATTCCTATCTTAAAGAGTTATTCCTGGAACAAATATGCCCATTGAAAGATGTACTCTTATGTCTTATCCTCTAAAATTTTGGATTTACCTTCACTTTCTTTTTTGGTAAC